TTTTCCGAATTTTTAATCTCGATTTATTGAGATTCGGATGTTTTGACGTTTTGATTGTTCAATCGCTCGATTTATCAATTTTCTCGTATTTAACTTTTCGATTTTTCGGTTTTGGCTTAATTTGGTTTCCCAATTTTGTGATTTTTCGACTTCCCGGCTTTTCGACCCCTTGACTTCTCGATCTTTTGAATTTTCGATTTCTCGATGTCTCAGCTTTTGAATTTTTCGATGTTTCGATTTCTCGATTTGTTGATTTTTAAATTTTAGATTTTCGAATTTTAATTTTATTGATTTTTGATGTTTCGATTTCTCCATTTTTCAATTTTACGATATTTTAATTTTTTAATGTTTTAATTTGTGGATTTTTAGGTTCTTCAGTATTTTTTTATTTTTCAAATTTTGATGTTTCTGAATTTTCGGTTTTTCAATTTCTCAATTCATCTATTTTTTTGATTTTCCCATTTCTCGACTTCCCAAAATTTCGATTTTTCAGGTTTTTTGTTTTTCAGTTTTTCGATTTTTAAAGTTTGCGATTTTTTGACTTTGCTTTTTTGACTTTTCGATTTCCCAATTTTTTTATATTTTAACTTCCCAATTTTTGGATATTTCGTCCAATTTTGTGATTTTTCAGTTTTTCGAGTCTTCAATTTTTCTTCTATTTTTCAATATTTTAGTTTTGGGATTATTTAGTATTTCGACTTCTCGATTTTTCCAGTTCTGGATTTTTTGATTTCTCGACTTTTTGCTTTTTGGATTTTCCAATTTTTCGACTGTTTTATACTTCGATTTCTCAATTTTTCAACTTTTTAAATTTTCGATTTTTTCAATTTTCCTTTTTTAAAATTTCTCGACTTATCAATTTTTCGATTTTTCAATTTTTAACTTTTCTTCTAGGCGTTCCACTCCTCGATTTCTCGATTTGTCGATTTTTCAGTTTTTCGATTTTGAGAGTTTAGATTTTCGAATTTTTCTTTTTGATTTTTTGATGTTTGGAAAAGTTTGGATCCATATTTCAATTTTGCCATATGTTAATTGTTCAATGTTTTAAATTTCTCGATTTTAGATTTTTCAGTTCTTCAGTACCTATTTCAATTTTTCAAATTTTGACGCTGCTAAATATTCAGTTTTCCGATTTCTTAATTAATCTTTTTATCCCATTTCTCGACTTATCGAAGTTTAGATTTTCCAGTTCTTCAATTATTTGATTTTTCGATTTTGCTTATATGGTTTTTCGATTTCCCCAATTTTCAACTTTTCGATATTTTAATTTTTCAATTTTTAAAATCCTAGATTTTTCAATTTCTCGAATTTTCAATTCTTCTATATTTTAATTTTTCAATTTTCCAATTTTTAAAATTTTCGAGTTTCGATTTTTCAATTTGTTGATTTTTTAGTTTTTCGATTTTTGAATTTTAGATTTTTGTGTTTTAATATTTTTGAGATTTTGATATTTCGATTTCTCCATTTTTCAATTTTACGATATTTTAATTTTTTAATCTTTTAAATTGTGGATTTTTGATTTTTCTAATTTTGACGTTTATGAATTTTCGGTTTTCCGATTTCTCAATTTATCGATTTTTTTGATTTTCCCATTTCTCGACTTCCCAAAATTTCGATTTTTCAGGTTTTTGTTTTTCAGTTTTTCGATTTTTAAAGTTTGCGATTTTTTGACTTCCCAACTTTTGGATATTTCGCCCAATTTTGTGATTTTTTAGTTTTCCGATTCTTCAATTGTTTTTCTATTTTTCAATATTTTAGTTTTGGGATTTTTTAGTGACTTCTCGATTTTTCCAGTTCTGGATTTTTCGATTTCTCGACTTTTTGCTTTTTGGACTTTCAATTTTTCGTTTTTTAAACTATAGGTTTTTCAATGTTTCGACTGTTTTATACTTCGATTTCTCAATTTTTCAACTTTTCGATATTTTAACGTTTCAATTTTTAAAATTTTAGGTTTTTCGATTTCACAAGTTTTCAGTTCTTCTACATATACTTCAATTTTTCAATTTTCGGAATTTTGAAATTTCTGGTTTTCCAAGTTTTCGATGTTTCGATTTTTCAATTATCCGATTGTTCAATTTACGATTAAAGAACTAATTCTTAGTTGAATAAATAATCGTTGTGTCAAAATCGAACTTCATATTATGACTAAGGGACAATTTAAACAATAAAAATTATTATAATAATAAACAAATTCAAAGTGGATTCATAAACCACAAGTACAGGAGTACACCATTTTATAAAATTTAAATATGCGCCAAGTGTTGAATTAACGTTATAAAATTGTTAGACACATTTTGGTTAACGTTTTATAATTTACATGATATTCTAGTGTATATAAAAAATTCTATAACAATCGGTCCAATAGTTTCGGAGATTATCAGTCTCAAAAAAATTGTTAGACACGACGAACAGACGGACAGGCAGACGGACGGAAACGGGAGACCGATTTTTTCCTATTCTTGGGATCATGAAACGTCAAGAAAACAGTACGCTCTTATTGGATCGTCATTTTAAATTATACTTTATGAAGCTGTATTTGTTTAAGTGCATGTGTTTACCAAAAATTGAGTGAAGAAAGTCTTGTACTATTTTTGGTGTCTATTATTAATTTATTTATTCGATGTTTGAAATAAATAAAATATACAGGGTTGCTAGAATGTATGGAAGCGGTTAAATATCTTGAGAACCAATTGTACAAATCACCTGAAATTAGGTAATGTTGTTTTCTTTTCTTGTACTACTACCCCTGTACGTAATTTCAGTTGATTCGTACAATTTGTTGTCAAGATATTTAACCGCTTCCATACATTCTAGCGACCCTGTATATGCTACGGTAAGTTTATATATATTACTTTAAGTTGTGATCTACATATATGACATAAAAGTGTTTTGTTTTAGTTAAATGGTTATGAAAATGTATTCACAAAGGCTAGAAGTGAAAGCAAGAATTTCGCAAATCTAATCTGAGAATATTCAAAAGTCATTAAATTTAGTAACGAAAAAGGTGATTTTAGATGAAACACTAAAAGATAAACCAAGAAGTGGGCGCCCAAAAGGATCTTCCGTAAAAACTTTGGAGAAGAAAATGTTAAACAAATCTAAAAGTAAGCTTCTTAATATATTTTTATAAGGATATTTTTATTTTTTATATTTATCTTTGAGAATGTCTCCAAGCTCATTCTTATCTTGTTTGATGCACATCTAATGTTCGTTCCACTTTGATTTAGTAGCGTACAAAACTCGTGAGCAATGCATTTAATTGGGGAAGTCGCGGCGGTGTTGCCAGTTATCAAAAATCTACCGATTTCTGAAGAAATTGATACATGAATCCTACACAAATTATTATCATAAAGTTTATGTGAATCCGCTTATATTCATGTTAAATTTTGATTTTTCTGTGTTAAAATTTTATAGTAAATCATAATATTTCTTAAATTTTCATCATTTTAAAATTGCTTTTTTGGGTTGTTTATTTATCCCGTCGTATTTCCAAAATTCTTTCAAATTTTGTCTTAATTTTTAACAGTAATATATTTACCTACCAAATACAACTGATTCTAAGAATGTAAATTTTACTGTGCTAGTGTTTTTAAAATTCTACCAAAAAATTTTTCTCTTACTTGCACAAAAAGTGTATTAAAATCTCAATACACCTTTTATGCAAATAAAAGAAAAAACGCAATTTTAAATTGATGAAAATTTAAGAAATAATTTTGTAATAAATGGTGTAAGATTTATGTACCAACTTCTTCAGAAATTGGTAGATTTTTGATAACTGATAACACCCCCTACTCAATATTTGTTAGAGCTTGGTTTGAAAAAATAGAGTTGAGTATCCAGGAAAAGAATCAAATCCTTCGGTATGCTAAATTCCGACCTATCAAACGTAAAATTCAGACGAATTTAAAAAAATTTGATTATCGGGAAGTACAAAAATCGGTGCCGAAATTCTTCAGAAAAAAAAAACAGTTAATTTTACACAATTAAATACTTAAAATTTTACCAATTTATTTATTTTACATATTTATTATTACTTGAAATAATATTACAAACACTACCAACGTTTTCAACTAAAATTTGATCAAAATCAATGCAAAAGAAAGTAATGCAAAATCTATTAGTCTTTTCACAAGCATTTATTGGATATTGATTCACATTATATTTCTGTTTCGTATGGTATTATAGTAGCGTTATTTGTCAATGTAGCAGTCTACGATTCATTTTGTACGACACAAATAGGAAACAAAATTTAAGGCAAGTGCATTTTGTATCATGAAAATAAAATACCGTCTGTTTTGTTCTAAATTTGCACACCATAATTTTGTAAAATCCAGTGTTTTTTTGGAAGACTGAATCCACTGGATTTTCGTATAAATTTATTTGATTTCGTATTTTACAAACGCACGGCTTTTCCTACAGTAACGTTCATTCACCCCTAACCCGTCGACCACTGCCTTTTCAATTTTTCTTTGTCTGAAAAACCAATGGCACCACTGATAAATAATAATCAACTCGGGGTTAATCGACTGCCTCCAGTCCCGGCCCGTCGCTTGCAAAGGTCAATCACCTGTTGTGTTTACCTAAAATTTGTTGACCACCCTGATCTACTCCCTCTAATGATCAAAACCTCCCGCAATCATCCGTCCATTGTACGAATTGTGGTTGTATCGAGTTACCATGGCATTAATTGGAACAATGAAACTGAGGAAGGCGTGGCGTCGAGAAACATCTGCCAAAATCCCACATAACTTGATAATCTCATAAAAAATGTAATTTCGTCCTCCAGCCACAGGACACGTGTACCTATCGAAATCGTCCTCAGCCATCGACCGACGAAATCGATCGATTTCCGCCAAATCGACCTTTCCACTACCGATTCGAAAATCCGAAAGCTCCCAACCAGCGCGTTGGCCATTTGCGTTCTGAAACGGCGTTTCATGCTAATTTTTCACTTTTCAGCGGCTTTCCAAACAGTTTCAGCTGCACGCGATGTGCGCGGGCTTGCGCGTTGCGTTCTTGAGAAACTGTGGCAAATACAAGTGCGGCAACGCTCATCACATTGACATCCATAAGCTCTGGTAAATAGTGCCACGTTATCCTGCGAGGATCCTGCCGGCGGCTTTCTGAAAAAACGCCCATGTCAACGTCCTGAAGCGGTCTCGCCCAACTTGGAAAAATTGCGACCGTACTTCTAGTGAAATCCTCCAACAAGGTGAGTGTTTATTCATTATATTGTCACTTTGTCGGACCGCAACACATCGGCTTTATTAATAAATTGGACACTTTCCATAGTTATATTTGAACTCGCACACATTTAAATGAATGGGTGATTCTTACTGATGTTACGGACGTTTGGGAATGGTTGTGGAAGTTCGTGTTTGGGTGTTTGTTTATCGACCTTGATACTACTTGTAGTCAGGTCATTAAATAATTGAACATTGTGCGTTGATTTGTTTTTTCTTGCATAAAACTGAAAACACATTTTTGTAGGAAAAAATTCTACGGGTGTATAAAGAGAACACAAGTGAGTTTATGGATTTAAAGTGAACACTTATAACATTAAGTTTGATTTAGTTTTAAAACTAATTTCCAATTTTAACGGGCTTTCAAAATCGTGTCTCTTGTGCTTTTTTTAATCGAGTAGGGTGTCCTACATTCTGTTTAAAAGCCAATCTGTCGTTTACCGGTGGATATATTGACTTGCCTTAAACCTAATTTAATAGTGTGGTAAATCGTTTATAACAATGAAAAGGTTAGTGCGGTTTTAAATGGCGAACTGTCACATGGTGACTTTTATTATTAAATTGTATTGGTAACATTGGTAAAAAAAGAATTTTTAAACGCTTTTAATTATTCTTTTTTGCACTACTTAAGTTGTTCTAAACTTAGATTCTACCACATATCGATCTGTTAAATAAAATCTTGACCACAGGGAACACCATCTATAATAAATGAGAAACGGCAATAAAACTTTAGGACTGCAGATGGACAAAGTCGTCTGGTTTTCGATTTCTGTGTCTAGCTAAGACAAGTAAATTTTAATCGTATTTACCGACTGTCACACTTTAGACAGTTAAAAAATTTAACCCAGGCCAAACAATTTTATTAACATAATTTACAAACACACTTTTTACTTTCCGAGCGTAAGCATCGGGGACTTGGTACTTTTATATTTTCTCCACGTTTCATGACCCCTAGACAGGCGGCGCCTTTACGGGCGAGGGGAGTTCTGTCGAAATAGTCTTCCACCATATGAGACATTTTGAGACTTACGAATATTCCTCAGAGTATATTTTTTTCTTTTCTTGCTAATAGTAAACATTTATTTCTGTGTGTTTTCGTTAACCGAAGTAAAAGTTTTTGTTTAGTGTTTACATTCATATTGATTTTGTAACAAAGTAAACATTTAGTGGTATAATACGAGTATGAGTGATTTCGTATTATTTCGTCGCAGTAAATTCGGTACGTTAAGATTTCATATTTTTTAGAAGTTATAGACATTCCTTCGACTTTAAGTCAGTTCAGAATTTAATACTTTAATTGCTCTATAATGAGTAATGGAATTGTCGTCGACAGGAAGAGCAATTTGCAACTTTATATAACAATTTTTTTAAGAGATAATTACAGTCACATCTCTGACAGGCTGCTCATTATCACTAATAACACAATTATTTACATTTTCGCTTGTACATGTAACATGTACCAGAACCAACAAAGTTTCGTGAATTTTGTTTTTGTAACGCATCTAACTCTATAATTATGAAATCGATCTCAGATATTATCTCGCTGCTACGAACTACATTTACTACAAGAATACGAACATGATATAGTTACTACAGTCGAACATTCCTTTTAACATTATTCATTAAAATAATTTTCTGAAAATCAATAAACATATTTGCAAGAGTTGGAGCCAATTCGACAAATCCGGGAACCAAATTTTGGTCAAAAAGTCACTTGTCCAATGCCAATTTGAAGACGTTTTTTACAGATCGCGCCGTATTTTTAGTGTGTACTTCAAAGAGCATTATGATGGTTATACCGGGTGATTTTTTTAAGTTTCTGATCTAGTTACCCAAGAATTCGGCCGAAAAATAGGTCGTAACTTGACTATGTATAAAGTTTAGTGGTTTTTAAAAAAGATGCAATTATAATAGCAACAAACTCTTTGTTTATAGGAAAAAACTGGTGTAAAGTTATTTATAGACAGAGCTTTCCTTGTTCCTGAAGCACAATCATTCTGCACTTCTGTCAGTTTTTTGAAGATTATAAAAATAGATTTTGGAAAATTTTATTTCCGGTAAGATCTATAGTCTATAATACATTAAATAAAAAGTAGGCTACGCTTGGAATACTTTAATCACTCAAACCTCCATCACTGTGTTTGAGTTTAACGCATTATTTTACGAAAACACACTCTGTTAACTTGTTTATATATTTGGTCCTGAACTGAAAAATCGAAAAGCTGAATTATCGAAGAATCAAAAATTTTAAAAACTGAAAAATTAAAACATCGGAAAATTGAAAAAACCAGAAATTGAAAAGTTCCTAAAACTAAAATTGAGAAATCCAAAAATCGGAAAGTCTAAAAATTTTTTAAATTGAAAAATCAAGATGGCAAGAAATCGAAACATAAAAAAATCATAAAACCGCAAAATTGAATATTCCAAAAATTGAACAATTGAAAAATAGAAATATTGAAGAACTGAAAACCCGAAATCGAGAAATCAAAACTCCAAAATTTAAAAAATTGAAACATTAAAAAATGAGATAGTGAAAAATCGAAACATCGAAAAATTGGAAAATCGAAAAATTGAAAAGCTGAAGAGTAAAAAATCGGAAAACCGAGAAATCGAAAAATCGAAACATCGAAAAATTTAAAAACTGAGACATCCAGAAGTCGAAAAATAAGTAGATCGAGAAATCGAGGAGTCGAAAAGTTGAGAAGTCGAGAAGTCGGAGAATTGAGAAACAGAAATAAGCCAAAATCGAAAAATTGAAACGTCGAAAAATTCAAAAAGTGAGAAGCCCAGAAATCGAAAAATCAAAGGATCGAGAAATACAGGACCGAAAAGTCAAGAAGTCGAAAAATTAAGAAACCGAAATAGGCCAAAATCGGAAAATTGAAAAGTTAGAAATTGAAAAATTGATAAATCGAGGAATTGAACAATCGAAACATCGAAATGTCTGAATCTCGATCGAGAACATCAAAAATTTGAAAAATTGAAAATTTAAAAATTCGGAAAATTGAAAAATTGAAAAATAGCAGAAGCTCGAGAAAACCAAAAATCCAGAATTTTAAAAGATAAAATATTGAAAAATTAAAAAATATAGGGAAAATTGAAGAATCGAAAAATTGTAAAATTCCCAAAACTGGACCTTATATACTTATATCCAAAAATTCAGAAAAAAAATTGGAATATCGAAAATTTAAAAATTCGGAAAATTGAAAAATTGAAATGTAGAAGAACTAAAAAGTTGAGAAATGAAAAAATTTAGAATTTTAAAAATTGAAAAATTAAAGTATCCAATAGTAAAAAATTGAGAAATCGAAATATTAAACAGTCGAAAAACTAAAAATCTAAAATTTAAAAAACGAAAAACTGAAAATCCCGAAAGTAAAATATCCAGAAGTCGAAAAATCGAAAAGTCGAAGAATCGAAATACTTAAAAATCCTAAAGCGGAAATATCGAAAAATTGAAAAATAGAAGAATCTAAAAATTTAAAAATCCCAGAATTAAAAGAAATTAAAAAAATAAGAAATTAAAAAAGTGACAAATTGAAGAACTGAAAATCTAGAAACGAAAAAATTTTGAAAAAATGAAAAATCGAAATATTTAAAAATCGTAAAATTGAAGAAGAGAAAAATTGAGAATTTGTGAAATTGAAACATCGGCAAATTGAGAAATCCCAAAACTGAAACATCGACAAATTGAGAAATCGAAAAATAAAAGAATGAAAAAATTGAAATACTGAAAAATTGAGAAACATAAACATAAATCGAAAAGCCGAAAAATCGAGGATAAAAATTCAAGGCATACTCATAAACCACACGTTCAGGACTTTGCTACTTTTTAACATTTAAATAACATTTATTCGATAAACTTACAAAGATGACATCATCAATTCCTGGGGGGCGTGAACGGTTAAATTTTGACCAACGATTTAACATGTTTTCAGTTGTAAAATGTTTTTGATTGATGAAATTTTAATGCTGAAGATTAAAACTCAACGCGGATTCATAAACCATAAACAGAGTATATAAAATTTAAATAACATTAACTATTGTAAAATTTGGAGATTACGTCATTTCATTGTTGGTGCGAATGAGAAGACAAATTTTGGTGAACGTTTTACCATTTGATAATACAATTTCAAATGTAAATTTTGTCATTCCAGAACATTATGTATTAAATCGTTAAGATGTTCACTTATTAGTTATAAAGTCCCACCGGATGGTCGAAATCGGTTAGTTCCTTGCAGTGAATGTGTGTCATTCAGATCGCTTAGAGTCGATATTGGCCTGAGTGCGTTCTGGTCTGTAGAGCAAACAAGTTCACAAGCGACGAATAATAGAACATCAATTAAAATTTGCTTATTTACTTCCCCTTAGAAAGCCGATGACGTCATCCTAAAATATATTAAATACATTGGATTTTTCAATTTTTGTTTTGTGATAACTTCTTTGTACTAAAAACTAGTGCGGACAATATGAAATATATATTCATAAATTTGAAGAATATTTATTCGGCCAATCTTAAGACGAGGCCATTCTAGAATATAATTTTTGGCAAACCTAGGTTAAGATTTTCGAAATTTTCGGTTTCAAAATGAAATCTAAAAAATATTCTAAGAATTGCCATATTAGTTTAAGTGCTTAGAATTTACATAAAATGTTGCCGAAAATGACTTTTACAAATCAAAGTCAAGAGTCTTTGGGCAATTTTCGAAAGAGGTTGGAAATAAGTCAAAAATTTCATACTGAAAATTTAAACTTTTTGCAAAGTTGCTTGAAAATATACAAAAAATTTTGAGGTATAAATCTCGACAAGCTAATTCGAAAACGATGGGCTCTTGGTGGATCCATAGTAAAATGTTGGAAATTTTCGGTTTCAAAATCAAATTTTTACGATACTTTACCTTTTTGGTGATTCTTGAAAAGTGGTTGGAATTTTCATAAAATGTTGTCAAATTGCTCGAAAAAATAAAAC